TCACGTGAGAGGTCTATCTTGTCCCTCTTGTTCTATCTTGGTCATTGTGGTGGGTTTTCAAGTGTAAGGGTAAATCCAACCCATGATGCTCCATCTTTGCTGGAAACAAGCTTATTTTTATTGTTCTCATTGCTGTTTGGTAGTCTCATTTTGCCGATGAGCTTATCAGTTGTTTCCAGTTTGGAGTTATTGTAAATGCTGTGAACATTGTTCCACACGTTTTGGTGGATTCTAATGGTTTAGATGAGTTATCCCCCAGAAGTTCATGTGTAAGACAATTCAAGAAAATTTAGAGATGAAATGATCAACTTATGAGAACTTTAAACTAATCAGTGCATTAATCCACTTGAATGGATTAACTGGGTGATAGGCAGGCAGGTAGGGTGTGGCTGGAAGAGGTGGGTCTCTGGGCCTGTCCTTGGGGTTTACATTTTGTCTGCTGGTAAGCACAGCAGTCTCTTTGCTTCCTGGCACCACCTCCTAAGCTGCTTTCTTCCTCCACACTCTTTGCCATGTTGTTTTGCCTCACTTGCCGCCCATAGCAATAGTGTAGGACTGAGATCTATGAAACCATGAAATAAACTTCTACTCCTGTAATTGTTCTTGTTAGGTCTTTTGGTCACAATGATTAAAAAGCTGACTAAAACATGAATTTATGCTCTCTTTTTTTTGAGGCGGGGGAAAGGGGGAGAAAATACCTAGAGTAGAATAGCCAGGTTACAGAATAAGGAGTGCCCCTCATGATGACATGCTGCCTGTTTTTCAAAATGGTTTACAATTTTAAACTCCCACCAGCAATCTATGAAAGTTCCTATGGCTCCTTATCCTCATCACTCTTAACGCTGTTCTCATTTTATCCATTCTTGTAGTATAACACTGAGACTTTAATATGTATTTACCTAAAGACTAATTATTTATTGAACATATTTTCCTGTGTTTATTAGCCACTTGGATATCCCGTCACATGAATAGTCTTTTCTCCATTTTTAAATTGGATTGATGTACTTTTTCTCAATGATCTAGAGGGGTTTTGTTTATATATTCCAAATATAGATCTCTTGTCAAATATACCATTGTTAATATCTTTACCATGCCTGTGATTTATCTTTTTACTCTTTTTATTGTGTCTCAATTTTTATAAGTCCTCAATTCTCTTATGGTTAGAGCTTTGTGTGTCTTTTTTTGGGGGGAAGGGGGCTCAGGGAGATTGAACTCAAAGACACTCAACCACTGAGCAACATCCCAAGCCCTATTTTGGATTTTATCCAGAGACAATGTCTCACTGAGTTGCTTAGAGCCTCACTTTTGCTGAAGCTGGCTTTAAACTCGCGATCCTCCTGCCTCAGCCTCCCGAGCTGCTGGGATTATAGGCGTGCATGCTTTGTGTATTTTTTAAAGAAGTTTTTGTCTACCTCAAATTATGAGGATATTCTGATATTTTTCTTCTAGAAGGATTTCCTTTTCTTGAGTACAGCAGCAATAATGACAAGCTTTGTGTAACCTAAAACATCTTTTTGCTCTTCTGCAGGCTTTCTGTTCAATATCCAACTGCGAGACACTGTCAAGAGGCAATTTAAAGTCATTGGTTGCACATCCTACTGCACTAATCGTGGCTGTAACCCATCACGAGGTCCCCTGATATTTGCATTGTGACCTGCTTATCAGTTAGCAAAACAAATATTTTACTTTACCCTTACTTCATTCTGTAGTGTCTCTGTTCTCTTTGTTTGAAAGCTTCTATAAATAACATGCTGAAGAGCGGTTCCCTTTGGCTAGTAGCCCTGGCAGCGAGGATTTATTTCCTTCAAGTTTCCATCATTTTCTAAATTTTCTATAGTAAACATGCACATTTATAATTTTAAAAAAGTAAACTTAAAAGCTGAGCAGTTGTGATTAAAATGTATACATTTCTATTTGCAGTAGCTAAAGAAACAATGTTTCATAGCTCTTTTCTGCACAGAGTATTTTGGCCACACACATTATGACTTTCAAAGCAACTTAGTAAATGCCTGTAGAGCAGACAGTCCAACCGTTTCATTTATTTAAAAGCTTTCTATCATCTACATATTTTTCCTTACTAATTATCTAATATTTTTATTAAAGTTATGGCCAAGTTTGTTTGTTTGTTTGTTTCCATGCTCTTGATATCACCTTATCCACAAATGAAGCCACAAAAAGTTTTGAAAATATAATCATCTCCCTAGTGTCATTAATTAATCACCAAGAATGAAGGCGGAGCAATCTGTGATACTGTTCCTATGACAGGAGTAAGGGGGGACTTCTGGATAGAAACGTCTGGAAAGAACTACTTACATTCTGTGCCAGGGTCCTCTTGGCTGGCACTATTGTGGGACAGTTCTACAGAGCTGTATGCAGTCACCCGAGCAGCATTTAGAAATGCATAGTTTACTTGACAGCATTTGCAAATTACATCTTTTCCTCGGAGGCACTTACACTAGGGAAATGTTTCCATATGCTAAGGCGGACACGTCATTGTGATGAGGGAGAAAAGACATGTCTTTTAGTAGCTACTTTTCATATACATATTAAACTATAATATGCACAAATTAATAATGCTGTCCCATAAGAATTTATCATAAATAATATTCTAATCTTTCTGTTGCTTTCTGCTAAAGATTGGGAGTAGATTTTACCACGAGACAATGGGTCAGCAAGAAATCAACTATGATATATCTAAGGAATGAAAACAATTTAATAACAGTCATAAATCTTATGTTAATGAGAACTATATCCTTTCTCTTAATTCCTTTGTGTTTCTTAAAGTCCCAGGAGGAAACAATTTCCAACTTCAAATTCCAAAACATATACTTCTGGCGAACTTATTTCTATCTTGACTGGAAAGCAGGGGTTGGCAAACTGTAGCCAGTGGGCCATACTAGCTCACCACCTGATTTTACAAATAAAGCTTTATTGGCACATAGTCATGCTTGTTTATTTGCATATTGTTTCTGGCTGCCTTTGTGCTACAAAAGCAGAGTTGAGCAATTGTGACAGATATTACAGCCCAGAAATCCTGAAATATTAAATAGCTCTCTATGGAAAAGCATTGCCTGGTTTCTAATTTCTCATCTTGTTAGAATAAACAGATACCACTACTGTCAGCCCTGCCTCTGCGCCAGGATGACAGCCACAGTTGTACAAAGCTCCAAAAACATTAAAAGGAAATCCACCACCCAAGAAAGCATTGACTGTTTTCTTCTCTTGGATAAACGGCAATGACCTTGGCAGCCCAAAAGGCATATATTTATTATATTCAACACCTGTTCTAAAATGTATGTCCTCCATATAAAGAGATCTATAAATAACTTTGAAAAAGTTTTTTTCAAAATCTTCCACTGAAAATTTTTAATAATATTTTGACAAGGAGATGCTACATAACAAAATGTGGTACTTTTTACTCCGTGTTTTAATTCAACATCCTAAATAACTCAAAAAATTTTTTTTCCATTTCTCGGAACACTTTAAGAAGGATGAAGGGACCTTTCGCTCCAGCTATATCATTCAGATCAACTTGGAAGAATATGAGAGACAGCAAAAGTCACTTATAAAATATTTTTAGCTAAAATAGTCTATTTGAGCAAGAACAACAAAAAGAATATTGGTTTGAGGAGTCACTTATTAACAATCACAATAATTCCAAACATGAATAAATGACTTAAAAATAAAAATGGACAGTTGTCTTTTTTGATTATTGAAATTATGAATGGAGATGAGGCAGTGGGTGATACAAATTTCCAAGCGAATCTAGCAAATATAATGCTTAGACCTTGGCTAGGTTTTTCAGTCATTCAGGTAGTTATTAAACAAGTATTTTATTGAGCACCTACAAAATGCTAGTCTCTATCCCAGAACTAGGATTTATGGCAATGAATGATACCAGTAAGATTCCACCTTCATGAAACTGATTCCTAGTGGGAGATACAGAACAATAGAAGATTATTCCCAGCTAGAAAGAACAGAGACAGAACATAATCCATTGACCTAAAAGAATTAGACTAAACAAACAAGAACACCAAGAACTGCTCTGGGAAGTGTCATGTCTGGCCAAACCTGTGCCAGTGATCCCTTCTCTCGGTTCCCATGTTCCCCCAAACTTCCACATGAAAAGATCCAGCACCTCATCTCTGCTGAGGTATAAATGGCTGCTCTTCTCTCGGGAATCTGGATTTCCTCACAGGTAGATAACAGGAGATCCCAGTAGCAGAGGGGATTTTAGGACATCCTCTGAGTCCTATCATCATCTGTTTCTGAGGAAACACTGGTCACACAGGTGTTGTGTAGTGGGACACCATCAGCCGTGGTGGGCCGGGTGGGACGCTCACTCACTGTACAGCACACAGAACCCAGTACTCTCCATCTGTGACCACCCTTCTCCACCAGGCCCTGGGACCAGGGGGCTGGCCTTTGGGGACCACAGCAGGGGTTTCTTTGTCTTCTGGTCAGATGTGGCCCAAGGGAGTCACCCGCACAGCAGAGACGGGGTAGGAGGAAAGAGAAGGCCAGGTCCTTCCTTCCCAGCTCCCTCCCTGCCTGGCTCTGTGCCTCTACCAAAGATCATGGCGGCCTGTTAGGGGGTCCTCTCACATAGTCACAGCTCTCTCCAGTCTTCTCAAGCCCTTGACCTTGAAGATGCCGCTGGAAGAATAAAAGCTCCCCCATGCCTAGGTGGTTCTTCTATCCCTTCCAGTGCCTTCAACGTGCTCTCACTGTCCTCTCTTGAACTGTCCCTTCTAGGATCGCAGGCGCAAAGTTGGCACTGCCCTCGGATCAGAAACTGACTCTGGACACCAGGTCTGTGTTTAAGCTCCAGGGATTTAGAAATCCCTGGGTGGGCGAACTGGTGAGTATTCTGGAAATGGTGCTTCCTCTTAGAACCAGCAGTAACTCACCTCCAAATTAGAACAAACCCCAGGAAGGTAACCAGAGTGACTCCAGAGCCCCCGGCAGAGAAGAAAGGGCCCAGGATGGCCATGACCTACCTTCCTGTGGTCAGTGGAGTGCTGCGGGCAAACGAGCTGGAGTCCAAGCAGCAGAAGGGAACCCAGGACACTGGGAAGAGAAAAGAGCAAGAGGCAGGGCTGTGAGAACACAGTTGGCAGCAGCACCCAGAGCGAGGCAGCATCCCCGGCTCACCACTGCAAGGGAGAGGACAGTCCCGTCTGGTCCTTGGAATGGACCCGGTGAAGATGCAAAGGACATGCCCCACACCAGGGAGGCAGCCTGTGCTGTGGCAGGGCCATGGCATGGGGCAGATGTCGGATCAATGACCAGCCTACCACTCACCAGCCGGGCCTTATTACATCCAGGTGTTTAACTTCTGTGAGCCTCAGTCTCCTCTCTTTTAAAATGGGGCTGACCACAGAAGCTGGCTCAGAAGCATGGAGGAGGTACGGACAAGGTAGTCACCATGCTGGAGACAGAGGACGTGCTAGTGCATGTGTGGCCCTGTGAGGGGCAGTGGGATCAGCCTCAGATGGGGGTTCTGAGCCTGACCAGGGCAGCTCCCCTCCTCACAGCCTGCGTTTCCTTTGGAGCCTATCCTCAGCCCATTCTTAGCCCTTTGGTGTCACACATGTTCTCCATGGATGGGATTAGCTGTGTTAAGCCCCACTGTCACCAGCCCAAGTTAGGACTTGTCATCACATACAGAAAGGTGTAGAAGTAGGAGCCGGCTGGCCCAAGACAGCAGTGTGCCGGAGAGAGTGCGAGGCTTTGATTACACATTAGGACTACAACCGCAACACCCCCACTCCCATCTGGGTGAGCCTGGGCAAGTTAGTATCTGTAAGCCTCAAACACTCTCATCTTCTGTAAGGGTCACTGAATGTGGCAGAAGTGAAAATACCCAGCACAGGTAGTAAGTCAGAAGACAGGTAAGTGTTGTCAATGAATTTAAATGCCCAGAGTTTTTTGATTTCAAATCATCAGTGTCCTTATTTTAAGCATCCCTGAAAAGAGGCATATTTTGAACAGTTTTTAGGGCTTAACCCTGAGGGCAATTCAGTTAACCACCACAGTGGTTCCCCAACCTTTTTGAGGTCTCCAACAGAGCTGAGAGATGCAGAACAGGGCCCGGTCCTGTGGGACTGGAGGAGGGGAAAACCCACCTGAGTCTGGGAGGTAAGGGCTTTGGAGTCAGGTGAGGCTTCCACCCTCCTCTAGAATCCAAAACTGCCACCTGAACCCCCCACACACACACTTTAAGGCTACAACCGCAACACCACCACTGCCATCTCATGTAAATGAATCGAGACCCCAGAAGAACACTCAGGATGGACACAGATAGACTGGTTAGACTAAAGGGCATGTGATGAGGAGCAGGGAATGAAGGGCACAGTATCAAGGTGCCAAATGCATCCTTCCTGTTTTTCGAGCTGTGGCTGAGCCCCCACAGCTGAAGACCAAAGGCACTGAGTATGTGCATTTTCCAAAGAGAGGGGCTGCCTATCTATTCAAGACCTACAAAGGGGGTGTCCCCATCCAAAGCTGCAGCCCCTCATCCACCTTTAGGCACAAGAAGGACGAAATGACCCCCAAAAAAGTGGGAGATGCCTGTGGAATACAGGAACTGGGGGGGCAGGATGGATCAAAAGGGGTCAGCCAGCCCTCACACTTATGGCCCCAGGGCATGTTGAAGCAGGGAACCCCAGTGAGGGGGTGGGTCTCCAAAGAACAGGCAAAAGTGCCTGAGAGAAGAATCTGGAACTTAGACGTCCGCCAGCTGAGAACAGCAGCACCATATCCCAAGGGGTAACAGTCCCACTGGGATTGCCTCTGCCAGCTGCCTCTCCTCTCCACCTCTCTGCTCCATCCTGGAGGAATTAACATGGCAAGGTGAATGGGCAGGGGGTTGCAGTATGAAGAGCACACTTCCCCATTACAGGCTAGACCAGGTCCAGCTCAGAGAAGGAAAGCTTTAAATTGGATGAAAAGCTTTTATCTGATCAGACTTCTTTTTTAATGTAGACCATTATAATTAAAGACAACACCCTTCTAGTCAAAGGATCTATTTGCAAAAATTTATTGAGAAATTAGAGGTGAAAGAATCAAGACTCTGTAACTTGCTGAGGATCTACACCAGTGCTATGGAGTAGAATTTTCCACAATGATGCAAACCTCCCCCTAGCCTGTCCAATGCACAGATACAAGGAGCTGTGCAGTTCAGTACACAGAAAGCTAATAGTGCAGGTCTACATGTTAAGTCCTGGGTTAATCCAAAAAAATTACTTACTAAAAGGATGATTATTTAACCAACTTTGAACTTTTTAATACTTGAAAATGGTACTATTAAGCCTGCAATGGATCAGACGAGTTGCCCAAGATGTCCTCCAGTAAATAGGACAGGAGCATCTAAAGAGAATGGATCTCCAGGCAGTGGTGAGAAAAATTAAGTTACTTTCTAGTTGTATCCTTACTAGACCCAGTTTATCCCCTAAGACAAGAACATGTGCATCATAACTTGGGAATATACACTCCTAGGTTGCAAGACCTCACTTGGGCAAATCAACTTCTGCTTCCATACCTCAGTTTCCTTATCTGTAAAACAGGAATATGATATAAGCTGTCCTGCCAACCTGAAGTGATTTAATGTTTGAGCAAGCACATTATGAACCTGTGCCTATAAATCGGAATCATTTGTAACACATTCTGGCACTGTGTACTCATTTAAAAAGAAAACCAGATTGGTGTGGTTTCATTAAAAAAACAAACAGCAGCTCCATAAACGCGTTACACCTCGGCCCCTCAAAGCTCTTGGCACACGCCGTAGCCACATATTTGTAATGTGCTCAGGAGCAGCTCTGTGTCTCCACCGGCCTCGGGTTGCATCCACAGCACTCAGGAGGACTTGGGCAGAAGAAGGAGGGAAAGATCCTCTAGGAGACACTCCAGGTTTCCCTCCGTGTGAGAGGAACTGCATTTCATTTATGGCTTCCCTCACCTCCTTAAAGTCTCTGCTCAAATGTCTGTCTCCATAAGCCTTCCCTGACCCTACATAAAACTGCTCCCTCTCCCAGCACTACTTCTTTTCCTCCATAGTACTTACTGTCTCATATGCCATGTCTCCCCCATATCTTTGTTTAAACTTCTCCCTTTGCCATGTTGAACGTAAGCGTGATGAGATTGGGGAGTTTGTTTTGCCTACTACCTAGAAAGAGCTCAATGCACTGAGTGTACACCAGTAATCCCAGCCTTGGCAACTAAGTGAGATCCTGTCTCAAAATAAAATTAAAAGGCTGTGGTTCAACAGTAGAGTGCTTGCCTAGTATGTGTCAAGCCCTGGGTTCAATGTCAAGTATCACCAAAAAAAAAAAAAAAAGTACAGAATTAATTAAATGATGTTTTACTATCCTGATGACCTCGGGAATCTCAAGATAACTGGATGCATATATTTTAAAATTCTAAAGTTAACTTCATCAGAAGCTTTTAAAAGTTTATTTTTTTTAATGAGGAATTTGTAAAATTCAGTTCTCCTTTTCAATTTCTATGTGACCCCCTCCCCCACAACAATTCTAAGATTCGGCAGCAAAATGGTGCCTCTTGCTGGTGCGTCTTGTTGCAAAAATGCAACCTGAGTTATAGTTCCATGTTCCAACAGTCCTTTTCTTCATGGAACTGGGACCCCGGTGGTGCTAAAACGCATAGAGGTACCCAACAAAATTCACTCTGGGATAAAATCTGAGTTATTCAATGGGCTCTGCTCTAAATGGAATAAAATAAATTCCCCCAGAGGGGAAATTATTCTTCAGGCTGCAATAACAGCAGCCAGAGCAATATATAACCCCAGGGGCCAGAGGAAACCCTGCCAAAGGCTGAAGGTTTCCCACCCCTGCTTGGCAGACTCCTCTCTGGCTACCCCACCCTGCTCACACATACCTCGCTAATTGGTAGTCTGTAGCCATGCCCACACCTCTCCAAAATACTGACAATCTAGCCCAAATCCTTGTTCTTCCTGACCCAATTTGAAATTACTGTTGGGGGAACGAGAGTGCGTGTGTGTGTGTCTGTGCGCGCAGCTCGTGTGTTATTTCACTTGGATAGTTTGCTTTGGCACACGGCTCCCAGCTTGCAACGTTTTGACAGATTGAAGGCTACCAGGGCCTTTGGCAAACAAATCACACCTCCCCTCCAAGCAGCGGGGGAAGCCACATTCCTACCAAGACTTTCCGATTCACCTTGCAGTCGAAACTACCCAACGTTTCACACCAATCCAAAAAAAAAAAAAAAATAGTTACACCATTTACCCATTGCTATTCTAGACTTTAAGCACTCTATCATTTCATTTCCTCATGTAGAAAATAATGCTCATTGAAATCTGATACAAGATTTCCATCACGGCACCAGGGCTCTGGGCTTCTGTATTTGCCTTGGCCAAGCCCACTCCCCGCGTCCCCCACACCCAGCCATCCTCAACTCCAGTGACCATGTTACAGCCACTGTGTACCTCAGAGGCCTTTGATGAACTCAACACCACCTGAGTGTATCAAGTATCAAAATAAAGAAAAACAGGGGAAAAAAATCTTCTTTTTTTCTTCAGTTAATACATATAAAGAGGGGTTGGGGTTGTAGCTCAGTGGTTGAGCACATGCCTTGCACACGTGAGGCACTGGCACCACATAAAATAAATAAATTAGTAAAACAAAGGTATTGTTCCATGTTCAACTAAAAAAGTTTTTTTTAAAAAGAAATACATACAAAGACATATTTTGAGAGCAACCTGATCATTAATAAAATTATACCGACCTCAGCAAAGGAGAGCGAAAGCCTTAGCATTGAAGTGTTGAAGTGATATCCCCACTTAGTACACTCTGAAGATAAAAAGGTTTTTTTTTTTTTTTTTTGCTAAGCATGCATGTTTTACCATGTGCAGTTTGGCCTCTGCCTTCCGGGCAGCACTTAAAGAGTAAATGCAGTGAGGGAGGGAGATGGGTCACAGCTGGCTGTAGCCAGACGACTTGAAGGCACCTCTGATCTCAACGTTTGCAAGTAGTATTTCATTTAACCTTCACCACCCTTCTCTAGGACACTTATTAGACCCATTTTGCAGGTGA